AGCGCATCGTAAGTAGCTTGATTTCCTTTTTTCTGAACCCATTTTAGTAATATCTGGTAGGACTGTTCGTCAACATCCGACCGGTGTTCTTCGACTTCTGTGTCGATTTGATCATCTGATACACCAAGCGCTCTTCCCAGTCTTTTACGACTTCGCTTTACAGCATGAGCAATATGTCTTAGATCGTCTTTGCTTAAACTTCCAGCCTTTAATTTTCCTTTAAAGTAAAATACACAAACAAATAAATCAACACACGAAAATAAATATACAATAAATAACCTGAACATTTTGAGAAAAAGAAAGACAGTTTGATAGCTTGGATATATGACTTCAAATGGAAAAAATTATTAGAGGTAACTTCATCAGTCTAATGCCAAGTGCCAAAAAAACTACTCTTTTTGTTGGAACTTCTTAATGAGGCTAATGAGGCTGAAATTTAAGACTATTTTTAGAAGTAACCGAATGCTGGGATTTTGAAAAGAATTTAATATATCTAAAAGTGTGTTAAAAATTTTCATATACTTTATGCAATTATATGTTTTTAACTAAACCGTGTAAAGTTTTCCTTTCGCTAAACGGCAAAACTAGCTAACGAACAACGAACACAGCAATACCTTCGAAATTACTTCAGCCCCCTCAAAATCATGGTAGGACAGCTAATCTGGCATTATATCGGTATAGTTCACTTTGTATTCCCTTAAATCTAATCTAAGAATATCCACAACAATATTTTCAGCCTAAAATTAGCAGAAAAATAAGAATATTCAGCTTTTGGCCCGTTTGTCGAAGGTCCCGAAAAGCTTTCGCACCTGGAAGGCCAGAACAAAATCTTAAGCCTTTTGATTACAGAGTTGTTTTACTTACGTATCCGTAATATGAAAAGAGGTTCCCTTCATACAAGAAGCCTCAGGCGTATGCAGCTTTCTGTTTGTAGACACAGATTGACTGAAAAAGGTCTTGCGGGCCCGAAAAGTTTTCGGGGCTTTCGAGAAACGGGCCCCTGGGCCGGAAAAACAAATTGAATATTCTTCAGGAAAGAAAGAGAGAGTATTAGGCAACTTTCCAAAGGAAAAAAATTGTACATGGGTTTAAAAAACTCCATCAAAGTCAGTGTCAAGACAAAGAAACGCAGTATTGTATAAGAGCAAAAAACTAGTGGCTCCACACATTTTAAGAATATCATTCTGGTATAAGGAGAAGAGAGCTCATTTTTCTCAATGCAGACTCTGAATCAGTCCAGGCTTACCTGATACCACCTGATATTTCTGTGTCGGTGGATCTTTTTCCGCATAACAGTATTGTGTCGCAATATCGTACAGATTACATTCCTTTAAGGCTTCTGCAAGGTCTTTATACAGAGCAGTGCCACTTTGCTGATGCCAACGTTTTAACATCTTGTAACANATAGAGCAGTGCCACTTTGCTGATGCCAACGTTTTAACATCTTGTAACAACGCTCATAATCTTCATCGTGGTCTTTGTCAATGCCACACAAGGATGAATCATCCACTCCTAGAGCTCTACCAATAGATTTCCTTCCATTGCTGGACTGTATATCCAGTGCAAGGTACGGTAGGTACTCTATGGGGATTGCACCACTCCTAACTGAGACAGGAGAGCGTGATTACCGGTAATTACACTTTGAAGGAAACTCTACCGAAAATTAATAAGGGGTTCTTCCCATAGTTATGTAGCTTTTTGACACATAATCTTCCTTATTCCTCTTTTTCTTGACTCTTGTTTCTTGCTAACGTTAGTATTAATCTCTCTTACCCTAAAATGTTGGGTTGATGTCCCGAGGTGATGAACTTTACGAGGACAATACTTCTGCACTTGGTAAGTTTCAGTAAACGACCCCTTGACAAAATGTAATTTGGCAGTTTCAGTTTCGTCTCTAACCTCCTACGCAGACGCTCATTGGGTTCGTCACACAATCTTCCTCCCTAATGAACGTCTGCTGAAACACAGGGCTATTCACGTAGCCCAATCACAGCGCACTTCCCGATCAAGGCAGTGAAGTCTGGACCCTGAGAAATTTTGCCAGAAACTTCAACGGATACGAGCATGGGCTTTTCAAAGAGTGTTTGGACATTATTGCGATAAAATCATTAATATGGAGCCTTATCAGCAAGAAGCTGCAGACTGTTTTGTAAAGAGATGGACGTGTTGGTACGCAGACATTTTGTTTGGCTAGGCCTGCAGGAAGTCCACTTGAAAAAGTGATCGCAAGACACCAAAATATTACCGTGGCCTTTCAATGAGCACGTGAGACATTAACAATATCATGTTTAAGTCCTCCTTGAGAAACTATTAGTGTATTTTGCAGTGAAAAAGATGACGTGTTGGTAAGTCTACAAACTTAGACTGGATTAAAAAAATTGCAGCGTTGCCGTTGAATTCAACGTGACATCTAACATTACGCATTGCGGCTATCGCCCCGAGGGAACCATTACATGATTGGCATTTTATTACACAGACTTAGCGCCAATTGGCTCTAAAATTATTTCAACATCATCTCCAGCTGATCAATCAACAAACAAAGGGAAAGGAATGTGCTGTTTGTTTCAGCAGACGTTCGTGGGGAGGCACTTTTCGCAATCAAACGGTGGAGTCATTGCCTTAAATTTGACAGAGACCTCAGCATGCACCTACAAAACACCCAGTGGGTTTTCTTACGCAGTACTGACAGGAAGTCATTTTGGTGGGTGACATGATCACGGCATCAATCACAAGACCATGTGATGGCAAAGATTGCATGATGAAACCAACGAGTATCTATGTAGGAGACTATTTCCTCTGACTGTATTGAATTTATTACAGGACATTAAAACGAAAGGTAAAGAAAGAAAAAGACCCTTTAAAGTGTGCCAAAAAAATTGTGCATAATTGACTTGCACATAATTTGCACCATTACTTATAATAAGCTTCACTCCAGTCCCACCTCTCGGTCAAGTTCTTTTTTTTTTTGGCCTGCTCACTAATAAATACTTAATGCTTCTCACTGCAGACTAGTCACATGTCTTTCTCAATCCCATTATCACAGGACATGTTCCCTTACCTTTCTCACTAGACTCCGGTACAGATCCTGCAAAAGCAAGAAAAAATAATTTACTTACAAATTCTTTCCGTAATTATAAAGCTTCACTCATACCCCTTAACCAAGTCCTTGTCTGGTCTGCCAACCAATAAATGCTTGATGCTCTCCAAAGAACCCTGCAGTGCAGACAAGTTGCATGTTTTTTTTATTGCCATTATCATAGACAGGACATGTTCTCTTACCTTTCTCAGCAGACACAGGTACAGATCCTGCAAAAGCATGAACAATGGACATTAAATCCATTGAAAAACACTGACCACTATTGACCACTATCATTCACTTGCATGCAACAAAAATCCTCTACAAGCTTCAAGGATTCTCCAAATTCTTGATAAAGGTGTTCATTGGTCTTTAAGACCCTTGCTAGGGATTGTAAAGGATCTTGCAAAGATCTTAATTTTGTTTAGGATTTTGAAGATCTTTGACAGGTTTTAAGAACACTTTAATAGCACATTCCTTTATAAAGTTTCTGTAAGTTTTTTATTGTCATGCGAGGTGGTCAGCTATTGTATGGCAATTGGGCTGGTATGGTAAAGTTTAAGTTAAACATATTTAATCTGGTGCTTTAAACAACTAAACTGCAATGTTTCCCTCATTCCATCTTTATTTCTGAGTCATGATTAGACAGGGTCAAATACATACAAAGAAAACTCCATACCAAGCTTAGCACCCGGTCCATGTTTGCTAGACGAACTCATCTCATTCTGTGAAGAGGTGCCCTTTGCACTTTCTATTTGATCTCTTTGGTGATCTGTAACATGTATGTAAGCAAAGAACTTCAAAACATGTTTATTCCTTTCATTCCTTGTAAATATAGTCACCGAAAGTGACTGGAGAGTGAAATTTCTTTCAGAATAATTCTACTCCCATTGACTCATAAACCAGTTTTGAGAGAGCTTTTAATAAGTCCTTGTTCTTGTGACGCCTTCACTGTTCTTGATGGATGTTTGTTTCCTCATGCTAATTGACTGTCTATACTTTATTCTGAATGCGAACTCAACACAAAACTACATCTAAATCGAATGATGGTTAAACTCAACTGAACTTGAATAATAACTACTAGTTTAAATACTCTTAGCTGTTAGCACATTCTGCAAGCACTTCTAACTTAATCATTCAGACTGGTTTGCATGTTATGCACATATCTAGTATTATGTACAAAACTGCAATGTTTCCCTCCTTCCTTCTTTATTACTGAGTCATGATTAGACAGGGTCAAATACATACAAAGAAAACTCCATACCAAACTTAGCATCAGGTACATCTTTGCCAGAGGAACTCATGTCTTTCTGTGAAGAGGTGCTGTTCACACTTTTTGTTTGATTTCTTTGGTGATCTGTAAAATGTATGTAAGCAAAGAACTTCAAAACATGTTTATTCCTTTCTTTGCCTGTAAATAGTCAGTGAAGGTGATTGCACAGTGTGAAATTTCTTTTAAAATAATTTTACTCTAATTGACTCATAAACCAGTTTTGAAAGAGCTTTTTAGTCCTTGTAGTTGTGACATCTTCACTGTCCATGACAGACGTTTTTGATAGAAAGGCGATAAACTGGAAAAAGGCCTTTCAAAGTGCCTCTAAACAGGCCAGATGGAGGTAAACGCAATAAACCTGCAAAATTTTCCTCTCAAAACCGAAGAGAAATTCAACACTTAATCTATCATGGACACTTTCAGTTAGTTTTGGCAACTTTTGTAGACCATCCTGTCAAAACTTTCGAAGAAGATCAGAGATGACTAAAAGGATAACAAGCCCACAGAAGAAAGAAAGAGAAAAAGAAAACCAAAAGAAACAGAAATGGGTACTCCTACTAAAGTTTGCATTAAATTGCACATCCCCAAATGGGTGATTACAGAAAATATCCACACCATACCATGGGTGGCATCTTAGGGAGATGGGGCAGGGGGGGGGGGGTTT